TTATTTTACTACTACTACTTTCTTTCTTCTTAACAAAAAGAAACGTGAACCAGAATGCTTAAATTCGTACCTTGTCCAGTGGTCCCTCCAACCTCACAGGATCATTCCTTGATGGTGCACCGAAACCTTCCAGGTACGCAATTAAATCCCTCAGCCTTTTTTATCGGCGCCGTTATTCATAGAACTCCTCAGAGATTTCTGGCGCTCGAGGCGACAACCCCCAGTTGACACATGCATTCTGCAAGGGGTGCAGCGAGGCGGGGGCGCGTTCCGTGTCAATGCCTCGTTTGACTGCATTTTACAACCCCCCGCCTCCCCCCTCGCGGGCCCCTCGGCGAGGGCCGTAAATTGTCCCCTGACTCGCTTCACAACGCCACGTCCTGTGAAGAAATTAATTTAGGAGTTTCCCGGCCTCGCCGCTCGATGGTCAGAACCGACGGAAGAGGTCGCAATTTTGACATTCTTGAATAAAATTGAAAATTTTGATGTTTATTTTGTCGCTTGATACAATTTACGGGGTGCTACTGAAGTGCAATTTTACGAGGAAACTACATTTAAAATTCTACGTGTTTTATTAACAAAAATTTAAGCTCTTAAAATTTCGAAATCATGTCCGAACTCCCCCATTATCTCGTTCCACTGTGCGACGGGCTGTTTCCGCTATCGCGAGTCGGGATCGGATAGCTTTACAAGGCGGAAAGTGTTCCCCGACGCTGTAAATCGTAAAACGTCTCAACTAAGGAGGGGGGGGGGGATTTGCCTCCTGGTTAATATTCAAGAAAATGGCAGCGTTGGAGTTGCTGCATTAATCTCCGCGGTGTAAGTTCATGGTTTTTTTTCTAATAAGAGGCAGGAGAGGTAGCGAAATGTCTGGAGAAACGAGAGAGGATTGGGAAGCAGGAGAAGAGGAGGAGAAGAGGAATAGAGGAAGAGGAGGGGAAGATGAGAAAGAAGGAATCACGGGAATAGGAATAAGGATGAGAATAATAAGATTGAAAGGGATATGAAAGGGAACACAAAGATAGGACAAACAAGAAAAGGATGGAGCATAATAAAAAGTAGGAAAGGGAGAAGAGAAAGAAGATACGGATAAAGAAAAGAAAGTTAAGAGAGGAGAAGAAAAAGAAGAAGGATAGGAAGAATGAGATGATAGAGGAAAGAAATCTAGGAAGAAAAAATTGAGAGGGAGAGGAGAGTGAAGGAAGAGTAGAATAGGAAGAATAAGATGATAAAGATAAAGGTTTCAAAAATGGAGGAAGATGAAGAAGAAGGAACAGGTTAAGGTGATAAAAAAAATCAGGGAGAAAAGAAAATAAACAATAAGGAGAAAAAGTAATATTAGGGGAGGAGAAAGAGGATAAAGGATAGAGAAACTAGAAAGGACAAGAATGTGACGAGATAAAGAGGGAAAATAAGTGAAGATCAAGAGAAGTGAGAAAAATATATTTTTCACTAACCTTCCTTCACCCTTTTTCTTCCTTTTTTCGTCCCTCTTTTTCTTCTCCCTCTTCTTCCCTTTTCTCTAATTATAGAAATTTCTCCTCCAGGTTAATATCTGATAAAGTGGCAGCGGTGAAGTTGCTATATATATTCATCTCCGAGTTGTAGGATCATTTTACTTTTTTGGAGTCAGACTTGATGCTTACGATTTTTTTTTGTCAAAGGAACGGAATTTTTTAATAGAAAGTTGTCGCACAAGACACCTGAGGCAAATCCTCTAAGTCACTAAGAAGGAAGTTTTCAGTTTTATAAGTTTTAATCAGCAATGTATGCGTTTTTTAGCTTAGAGGACTGAGTCCTTACTTCCACAAACCCATCTCGTTGGTCGATGGAGCGGACTTTCAATTTGGCGAATTGATCGTTCGGTTCAACAAATCGGATAAAATGCTCCGATAAAAGAGACTGTGGATGACAGCGCCTGAACGCAACTTTTCGTGTTCTTGAGATGGCTGGATTGCATACAAAAGAAATTGAAGGCGTTCCGGGGTTTCACGTTCAAGGTAACACGGTGACAAGGCATGAATGGATGTGAGAGGCTTAACCCATCAACTAGTATCCTTGTTATAGCTAATTAAAGTAACAATTTCTTTAATTATGGCTGCGTCCGCACATGAAAATAATGAAATCGTCACCTTCCAGCAAAAGTATCACAAGCGCCATGCGACGTTTCAACATTTCCGCCGTCCTCTTCATTGTTTTACAGAGAAATTATTGGTTGAATCTGTTTGATAAGTTCACTGAATTTTATCAGCAGCACAAAGAAAATTCAGTGAAACTTTCGGACAGCTTCATTGAACAATTTTTCTGCAAAAAAATTAAATGGCGGCGGAAATTTTTGAACGTTGCATGGCGCTTGTGATACTTTGGCTGATAGTTGACGAAATGTAAGGTCGAAATTGTTTTTTCACCATGTGCACCATTCGTATGAAAGGCAACATTGGATCAGTCTATTATCTGAACATGATGTGCATTGGATAATGTTTGCGTCTCTTTACTGTAAAAAGAATAAAAAAAGGGCAAAGAAATCATTTGTAATCCACTAGAAGAGTCGATAAACTATTCAAGAAGACCACTCAAATTATCTGCTTTCACTTCGCGATTATGTATGATATAGATTAGCGGGAGGAGTAAATAAACACACCGCGAATTCATCTTAATAACGTAATTTATGAGGCTAGCTTAAATGAAACTTGCTTTGATTTTTATCCTCATCGTGGTGCAACCATCAAGACTGCAATTTGTTTCGCAATGTAGGGAAAAAATGAGGATTTGTTAACATTGATATCGACAAGATGTTGTTAGGACTTTCAGCTAATCACCCTTCCTTACAGCGTATTTGGACCGCGGTTAACAGGAAGGATCCAATCCACATCAGCTATTGTCAAATTTAACAGCGGAATTTATTTTTTTATGAGAGGACGTTTGTGCGGATTCCTTCGAAAATTTTAAGGAATTTGCTTTGTAATATGGAGAAAATTTACTGAAATTGGCACAAATAACTACAGAAGCGTTTCATGGGGAAAATTAAATTGCCCAATTTGGCAATAGGTGCTATGGCTTGGTTCATTTCTGTTTAACGCGGTCCATATTTCGATCGTACTTTTAGTTAATAGAAAGCGCGCCTTAAAAATCATTAAAATATAGGATAATTGGGAAACTTAGGGTCTAAAAGAGTAGCATAATTCAAAGAGATCCAAAATTTCAATTATTTATTTACGCTTTGCATAATCGTAATAATACAACAATATTTCATAGAGACCAACTGACGGATGAAACCTGGTGAACCGGTGACTTTAGCTGGTGAGATACGGCTATCTCACGCCCTCGTCCTTCGTTTCGATCAATTACCTGACTCCAAACATGCGACACCCTTGGTTTCTTCCACCTTGCTTTTATCCGAATTACACGCTAAGTATCCAGAGCAAATGTGTGTTCCCCTGCCCTAACTGATGAAAGCAAGGTGGGAGAAACCAAGGGTGTCACTACCGCGATGGCTGACGTCATAAACCGAATTTTTCAAGGCGCGATATCTCGATTGAAATTCAACGTAGAGAGTTGCCGTTTGGATGGATCTTATTATTCTTAGCTAATCTAAAAGAATCAAGCATCAAACCACGATTTTTTGTGATTAGCGCAACTGACCCATTTTGCGAATCCATGTCATTCAACCAGTTTTTATCACAAATAGGCTGACCACTCGTTAAAGTGAGACAATAAATCTATCATCTTGATTTCCGCTTTTTTTCTAGTGCAAAAATAAGGACAGTAGGAGATTTTGGCGCGATCTCAAAAGTCGCCAAATAATTTGGCATGAACTTCGACAATTTCTAATTAATGATATCATAGCACAGCATTAGAAGAATGATAATTTCAATAATCAATCAAAATGATTTGTGCAAAATGGATGAACAAACAACTTTGCGCATTCGATATTTGCATGATCGGTTAATGGAATAGTAATTTAACCGCATTTTTCTGAAAGATAGTTGGCGTATTACTTTCCATTGTCTGAGAAGACAAACGGAGAAATTTAAATTTATTTTTTGAACAAACTAAATTGGACATAATGATGCACATTAATTATTTTAATATCTATCATTAAAATTGTGGGGTACATAGTGATAGTTAATTTTTCACCTCCTACGGGTTGAAATGATCGATTGAGAACAAAATTTAAACGTAGATAGGCTAATTTCCTAATTCCGTTGCTGAAGTTCTTCCCATGGGGTTTTTTATTGGAGTGAAATTAATAGTCGACGAAATAACTAAATTTTAGTTAAGTTGTTGATGATAATTTTATTAAATAAAGTTGATTACATATACATATCATCAAGAAAATTTCTCCAGTTCTAGATACTGGATATACGCACCCGCGTGACACCTGTATTTTAAGTGATAACTTTTTGCACATTATATTATATGAATTGAACATTATTTCTTTCTTAGAATGTATCGAGGCCTTCCGGGATTTCTGACTGTCCGCTGGAATTTCTAATTTGTAAAATTTAATAAAGATATTAATTAAAAAAAAAGAAAAAAAATGGTCAAAATGGCTACAAATTGTCATAAATATTTTATTTGCGAGAATGAATAATTATGAAAAAATCCGAGCCTTACTATTCAATGATTTACCTTGGAACAAACCATACGTGACACAACATTCACAACGTCGGAAATCGAGGTACGTGCTTTGCGACTTTTACAGTAAAAAAAGCTCAACTTGTTTTATTACATACTTGTCATTGAAAATATACCATTTTAGGAAGTAAATTGTACCAAATAGTAAGCTGTGATATTCTTACTGGTGGTTGTTCAAACAAAAAATGTCTTGTCTCATTCAAGTATGCCACTTGAACCCAGTAAAAAGTGGATTTATTTATGAAGAACCTTGTTTTCCTCTCCGTGAATAATGATTTAAGTACGTAAACATGTGAAATATTCGAAGCGCATTTTGTATAAAATACTTGCCATCGATATCATCAACGTCACTTTTTGCTCTGAATTTATAGCTTGAACACATAATTTATTCCTGTCTTAGTTGACTTTTAAAGTGTTGAGAAATTTTGGTGCGAATCAACATGCTTTTTCATTCTAAAACATTTTGAATTGTTGATATATTATACAGTCTTTTCGTTAAATTTATCTGCAGTATGTCATTTTATTTACAAATTTGAAAAGTTCATTAGTCGTTTTTTTATGATTGAAATTAATAAAACAGGTGCCCAAGTTTATCCACGACATTGTAAAATATTCTGATCATCCTGAACGCAGCAAAAGTAAGTTATCATTTGAAATTTTCTTGCAGCCATCAATTCTCTGATATGGCTTTTCATATACGTTCGATTTTTGTTTTTAACTTTTCACCTTACAGGGGCAATTTTTTGCCCCACTCTGCTCAAATTGTCCTTCCGGACAAAAGTTAACATCGCGGGTAGTTTTTTCTGCTTCGGCTTTTTCCCCCGCACATGCCTTTATGGCGCTCTGCAACAACAGGAGTCTTTTTTCCCTATTGATGTGTGTAACTGAGCTGCCAATTGGAGGTGATCTCGCTGCATCGGTTTTGGCTCCTCAAGATGTCTAGTCAGCTCAAACAACTCGAGCAAGTCCAAAAGTGAACAACAGTCAAATTCAAAAATTTTGTAATCCTCAAAAACAGACTAATACTGGTTTAAATTGCTGGTAGTTGTTGTTAGGTCTGCTCGGCGGCATTCCTTGACGTCGCGTAGGCCTTTGAGAAAGTATGGCAACTGGGACTTCTGTACAAGATCAGAATCCTGTTGCCTGAAAATCACTTTCAATTATTAAAATCTTACCTTCATGGCAGACAATTCAGGGTCAAATTCAACAATTCGTTTTCGAGGGTTTGCTCAATAACGGCAGGCATCCCACAAGGAAGCGTACTAGGACCGATCCTATGTAACATCTTCACTCGCGACATCCCAAAATCAATCGAAGGTTTCGTAGGCACCTTTGCCGACGATACATCGCTGGCAGAAATAGATAAAAACTTAATTGTAGCCAATGATAAACTACAAACTTCTGTAAACAATGTTTCAGAATGGGTAGAGGAAAACGGAACCTGTCTTAATGCCCAGAAATCTAATCATATAATATTTACAAATAAAGCATTTACTCCATTGCCAGTATTTTTGAATGGGGAGCAGGTGCCTTTAGTATCTATTACACGTTCCTTGGGAATTAATCTAGACTCTAGGTTGACATTTAAAGATCATATAAACACTAAAGAACTTAATATAAAATATAAAAAAATGTACTGGCTCCTCAATAAAAAATCCAAACTATCAATTAAAAATAAACTCTTCCTTTACAATCAAATCCTCCGCCCTGTATGGCTTTACGGCTGCCATATATGGGGTAGCGCTAGTATTTCAAATATTAACAAAGTTGAAAGTTTTCAAGCAAAAGTATCATAAGAACCATAATCGGCGCTCCATGGTATGTGAGAAATGTTGACATTCGTCGTGAGCTGGAAGTGCCTACTGTAAAACAAACTATTAAAGATACAGTAATTAAATATGAGGAACGCCTGCACTCACATACAAACAATGCTGGCCTAGAACTTTTAAACACTTCAATCATCAATAGACAGCTAAAGAGAAGAAGAAATATCTTTGATTTACCCGCCCGCTTTATGTATAAGTTAATTCTAGTCAATAGATACCGCTTCCCTGTACTGGTAGTAGTGACATGTAATGTTTATCAATAAACTACTTAATAATAATAATAAACAAAGTTGTTGTTAAGTCTTATACGTCTGACAAATCATGTTCAATTGTAAAATTGGTTTGATAATAAAGAACATGTATATATAAGAAAAATACTTTTCAAGCACAAAACATCTTGCTAAAATCCGACGTCAAAAACAAATAATTCGATTTTAACACACACATACTGCATGGATTTAAAACTTCTTTGTGATTACGTATGTAATCTATTCCAATTTTCATCACGAAAATATCAAATATGTTTCGACCTCAACAGGAAAAGAGGCGTTTTGTAAGTCTACAAAATGTAGTTCAATAAAGGAAATAAACAGTTTTCATTACAAATATTGTCATCACCTACGGTTCTATATTTGCATTTTTACGATGCTTCCATTGCATCGGGACGAGGGCCGTTGCTTTCGTAAGCGCAAGCTCAGGCGTGCATTTTGGGGTCATTTCTGACATTTCTGACGTCATTTCTTACATTTCTGACATTTTTGACGTCATTGCTCTTTCGGATGCTACTTAAATATATATACTCTAAGAGCTCAAAATCCCCTCATTACAATATCAATTTTATTCAAATATTTTAAAATCATGGCTTCAACGTGTTGCCTTTTCAGCTTGCTAACAGAAATATAGATTTTATTTTTTGGCATGTATTAGTGCTATAATTTTGCGGAAAGATTCAAGATGATCTTGTGTGATTGGAAGGCCTCAACTTATTTATCGTTAACAACATATATGCAGTACAAAGGCATCGAGGGACACCTTGGATTCTGCTTGGACAAGGGTCTGAGGATGTCCCAACATGTCCTCACTGTTTGCAGTAAAGCCAAAATGACCATCAATTCTCTCCAATTATTTCTAGAGCGTTAGCTCTAGCTTTATAAATAAAAAATGAATATTAGACACAGACATTGTGACGACCATTGTGAATGTTTAGACATTACTTTATCCACCGAAAACTTTTTAGAGACTTTACTTCGCAATAAGTCTAACTGGATCCTCATCCATGCTTTACTCACAAGCAAAACTTAAAAGCTGTAGTGCTATTGTAAGAATTTTACTTTTTCAAAATTTCGATATAGAAAGAAGAAGAAATAAATAAAAATGAAGCTCGATTCAGGAGATTCTCATGATGATAATGAAAATTATCAATTTTTTCAGATGAAAATAGCAGTGCTTTCATTTCTCGTTTTCACGACGGCGTGGTGTCGTGAGGAAATGGAAGAGCAACCGCAACGGGATCTAGCTTGGTGGGAGAAAGGAGTTATCTATCAAATCTATCCGCGATCATTCAAAGACTCGGACGGAGACGGGATCGGCGACCTAAAAGGTATTGATCCGAATGAAAAGTATCCACGCTATAAAATAAGACACCCATCATAAAATATAACCAAAAAACCACCATTTAATAAAACCAAACGTACTTTGAATCAATCGAATCCACACGTTTTTTTTTTTTTTTTTTTTTTTTTTTTTTTTATTTGCACAATAGAAATTTTTGTACAATAAACACTTTTAGACTTCATATAAGTCTCGAATTCACACGTATTTGAATACTCTATTTGATACTGACATTTTGTTGATATCATCTGACTTTGTCTTTATCTCTCCGTTTATTGGTGAAGGATATGAATTATAACTGTGGTAAATAAACTTACCTGTTTTATTAGTTAAAGAAAGTATTTTTAACTGCCAATTCAAAGGGTTATATCTCTTACTTGACCTAGCAACAACAGAGTTAAGATATAGGCATGACATTAGCAGATAAACCGTTTTCCACACTGTTTTTTCCATACAATGATTTATTATTCCTCAGAAATTATATTATATATATTTCCTCAAAATTAGAATGTACTCAGATAGGCCTTCGGGCTAGCACCTGTCTCTGCTAGTTCCAATTTATGAATATGTAATGAGGAATCTTATTAACCACGGACCCACAGTTTAGACACCCGAGTTGCAAGATAAAAGCATACAGACCGATCTGTATCTTCAACACGTTCAGCAAAATTTATGGACACATCATCTCTAATAGACTTCAAAAACAGATTAGCCTTTCCGAAAGTCAATATGACTTCAGGAAGGGTCGATCTACGATTAATGCACCAAACAAAATTAGAGAATTGTACGAGAAAAACAGAAGATTAGGAATCGAAAGAAGATTAATGGTAACAGTCGGTCTGGATGTTAATAAAGCATTTAATTCCCTAAAATACATCGATGTCATTGTTGCCCTTAGAGATCAGGGGGTTGAATCTAATCTAATCTAGAATAAATCTAATCTCTCTTGACCTAGAAACAACCAAAATCAGAAACAGAGTTAAGAGAGGCATAAAATTAGCAGATAATCCGTTTTCCACACTGTCCTTTCCGCACAATGATTTATTTTGCACATTTTGCCAACGTTGCAAGGAAAAACTTCACCTGCGAATACGAGTTAATAACACAGCGAATCAAATAAAAACTATGAAGACTTACTGACGCGTCATGAGATGAAAGTGACTTATGACGGGTCTTAAAAAGGGATAAATAGCGTGGAGGGAGCGGGAAATGATATAATAACGAATTGAAAGAACCGAACGATTTGAAAGGTATATTGAAACTTGAGAAACTTGACGAAAGGTTTCAGACTTAGATTTAAAGGCCTGAAGGGTGATGAGGCTTATGAGGTGCACACACGGGTCTATGGTGGAATGTCCTCAAAAAAGGTGCAGCATACTCTTTTATAGAATTGTTGATGTCACGGGTGGTGATACAATAAGGCTATGCGTGATTGGCTGGCTGTAATCAGTTGGGCTATCAGTATCAAGTCTCGTTATTAGATTAACTATTGATGGTTGAATGATAAAGCCGAATTTGAAGTTGGAATCAGACAAGTGACCAAATCCAGCTATCACTAATGACCAGAGGAAAAATTTATAAGTAGGGAAAATGAAAGAAAAGCTGAGTTGCGGTGATAAAGGAACACACAAAACTTACTTATTTTTTCAGCTTGTTTGCAGAAATGTTTGAAAATTAGACACATTTTTCTGAGATTTTTTTAAAAAAAATGTGCTTAAAGTTGTCTAGGAATTATATCGACAGTGAAACTACCAGACCACGTATCGCGTTTGCGGTGTTTAAAAATCTCCGCTCCCATTTTATTTTTTTGAAGGCGAACAAATCAATATCGTCTCTTGAAATTTCCACAGAGTTCTCTTCGCAAAGAGAAGAAAAATCAAGGAAGTTTTCAAAAATTGAGGTTGGGTGGTTTTCCGTGTAAACAGAAAAGTATATATTAACAGAGATACGTGGTCTGGTATTTTTACCGTCGATATTCTATTGCCATGAAAATCGTCGATAACAAGTTGAGAATTTTTTTTGCATTATCACAGAACCAATTTGGTGTATTTTTTGGATCGCTATTTTAGCATACAAAAATACTCAAACAATGAAATGGACTTAGACCTGAGTTAATTTTCAATACGATTATTTTATGGTGGTAATTTTTATAAAAAAATTGTTCATCTGTATTATTTTTGTTCAATCCGTTTGCAGGTATTGCGGAGAAAATTGATTACCTCTCAAAACTAGGCGTCGGAGCAGTCTGGATTTCTCCGATTTTTCGCTCCCCGATGGCGGATTTTGGTTACGATATATCGGATTTCAGAGCAATCGAGCCAATGTTCGGCACCATGAAAGATTTTGAAAGGCTGAAAAGATTATTCCATAAAAATGGTAATAAAATGAATCATGAATCTTGTGAAGCCAATCGAGACCTAAATCCACCTTCTCCGTTGATTTATGAGAATTTTAAGCCAAATAGTGTGAATGATTAAGTCAGAATTTTTTTAACGAAGAGATTTGGATTCTGTAATGCGAATTGGTCAATTTGTCGCAAAAAAGTGCGTATGGATAGGGTTTTCTTCTTAGATCTTCATTTTGTCACTGCGGTGAATACTAGAACCGAGATGTCGGATTCTCTGGTTTAAAACTGCGTACTAGTCAGTGGCGGTTCTTAAAAGTCGGCGACACTGTCTTACCTCCATATAAAAGTATGTAAAAATATCGATTCTTAGTGAGGCAGCTTGCCTCACCGAAAATCGATATTTTTAATGGATTTAAATGGAGGAAAAACAGAGCTGCCAACTTGCCACATCGCCACTGGCAATTTTTGGCAAAAAAAAGAATCATTGCCCTCGTTCATGGTAGAATCTAGGTTGTACCTACTTTTTAGGTCACCATAGCTATAAAATTGTAACTATACAGCTAGACCAAGACATAATTTTCATGACTTAAAGTCAAACTTAGCGTTTAGGATACGCAACTTACGGCCTACTGTACACGAAAAATATTTGGGCCTAAGTCTATGTTCTTTAGCCGTACTTTCATTTAGATAGCTGCTTAGCATGCTGTTAGAATTTTAGTAGTTTCAATCGAACATCCCACTGAGGCAAGGCATTTACGATATTTTTCAGGATTAAAAATGATTCTTGACTTCGTGCCAAACCATACCAGTGACGAACATGATTGGTTCAAGAAATCAGTCGCAAGAGTTGATCCTTACACAAATTATTACAACTGGGTCGACGGGAAGGCGAGTGAGAACGGCACCATACAACCACCGAATAATTGGGTAAGTCTAGTATTTTGCGGTATAGGCACCTATTCTGTTGCAAAAAGCACGTGGCCCTTGGGTTTTATGGGGCCGGTACATACAATTTTTAGATGTAATTTTACTAATACATCGTAAAAAAAATCAGATATCAAATTGAAAAGAGAGAAAAATCGAGTATCGGTCGAGAATTTTCATTGACAACTTTCCCAAGGAATCCCAAACCAGATCAAATTGGCCTGACTATCCCCTCTTGGCGAAATACGGTGAGAGGTCGGTGCATAAGAACTTCAGACATGGGTCAATAAATACACCATATAAGAGAGTAAGACTTGAATTGAAGAAAAATAAGAAAAAATCAACCATCAACACAGCCGAAGGAGGAGAGACGAATTCGGGCCTGAATTTTTGACTATTCTCACGAATCAGGGCTACAGCTTATTGGCAACGTAGTGCGGAACACTGTGAGTTGGCACCTCGCATCTTCGCGCCTTCAATTTTGCAAATGCAACACGGACATCCATCAAGCACAAATAGTTGTATCTCTCCGCCGTCATCGACGCGCGTTATTTCCTTTGCTCCATTTCTATGTAATGTTGGTTTGTTTTATTTGTAGAGGTGCTTGAAGGGCTACGTGAGCAACACAGCCGAAAATATAGAGACGTGATCGGGCGTAATAGAAAAATACGTCCGATATTTTACCCCTAAGATTTTTACAATTTTCTTTGGAGTATTGTAAAACGCTCAACTTCAGCCTTCTTCCTGCTCTGCCGTGCTAAGAAAAAACGTCGTATAAACGATCAAGAATTGGACGTATTTCTGTCTAACGGAGCTAAGTGCATTAATACGTGAGCCCTGTTATGCATATATTCTAATGGGCTAATGGGTCTCAGGGCTCATGTCTTAATGCACATTGTTCCGTTTGGCAGAAATACGTGCAACTGTCAAAGTTCCCTTGAGTATAACTTGTATTTTTGAAGAGAGGTATGTATATTTTTCCTTTAAATTTTCAGATATTTTAGATGAAATTGCAGACAAAATTGTCTGAAAAATTCCAGGAAGAATATGCCATATTGACCCATTAAATTCGGTTTTTATTGAAGGAAATATGACAACGTCTAAATGCTAATACAGCGTTCCTCCTTATCACGGCGAGCTAGAAGCGTGTTATTTGAACATGCATCGTTCGGAATTTCATATTGATGATTGCGTTGTTGCAGCTTTCATATTTTGGTGGGTCAGCTTGGACTTGGAATGAAAAACGGGGCCAGTACTATCTGCATCAGTTCCATCCGAAACAACCAGATTTGAACTATAGGAACCCTCTCGTTGTTCAAGAGATGAAGGTAAACACTCACGGACTTCTTTTTGCATTAGAACCCTCAGAGGTTATCTAAAATGAGTGAAATAACTTGAGCCTGAACCTAAATTAATCACTGAGGCCAAACGATTTAAAGCCCGGCTAGGACACGCATGCCCATTTCATATGCTTGAAAAACATAAATTGTATTGGATTCAAGCGCAAAGCGTGATCGCTCTTCGAAAACTGTGCATGCGATTTTTGCAATGAGTAAAAGAGGATAGCTTCGCCCATTGGTAAAAATTACACCTATCGATCGTCCTCAAAAATACTAACATATTTTTAGGGATCATCAAGGTAGTTCTATCAAATCTTGATACGATTCTTAACTATTTATTTGCATGAAACGAACGTATTTGATTGAGAGATTGCATTTTACATCACTTATTGGTTACTTAAAAGGAAAATTATATATATTGCCAGTGATGCAGAAAAAGTGGAAAAGTTTTGGCATTTTAAGGAATAAAGGTAAAACTTTTTCCACTTTTTCTTCATCACTGGCTGTATATATAATTTTTCTTCTAAAGAACGTACTTGTATCAAGCACCTAAGGCTAATTTCTTGAGTTTCAATAGTTGTACTTTGATGATCATTGAGGATTCCGAGTATCTTTGAGGCTCATTGAAGATATTCTATTCTCTAGGGCCAGTATGAATGGCTATAACGCCAAACTTTTTGGCAAAAAGTGCATGCTATCGCATTGATATTACCATAAAACATGGTTGAGGGAACAATATGGGACCAATCATTATATTAACGACTAGACCCTAAAATAGACCCTAAAGTCCATCAAGACTGACTTGTTTGAAAAAATTTGCTGACCAATTAATCTTCTATTTGATGAAAAACCTATTCCTGTGTTCAATTCCGCCAAAAGTAGTCGCACTAACCCATCACATCGTATTCTTTTTCATCAGGATGTTTTGACTTATTGGATGGACAAAGGAGTAGATGGATTCAGAATGGACGCTGTGATGACCATCATGGAGGACATTAAACTGCGGGACGAACCACTCTCGGGCAAAACAGATGTTCTGCCAACTGATGAGGAGTATCTTAACCACATTTACACCAGAGACCAACCGGGGACCTACGAGATAATTAAACAGTTCCGAAAACATCTTGATGATTATTCTAGGAAAACTCACACGGTCAAGTGAGTATGATTTTGGAAAGTCGTAGACATTATCACGGATAAAGAAATTTAGTCAAATGATGTGATTTTTAGAAAAAAATGGGTTTAAAGTTTCACAATTGGACGTATTTCTATCAAACTGAACTACGTGCATTGTGACGTGAGCCCTGTTATGCTTATATTCTTATGGGTCTCAGGGCTCATGTTTTAATGCACATAGTTCCGTTTGGCAGAAATACGTCCAATTCGTCGTTTCGGAGTAAATAATCGAGTTAAGAGCAGGATTAAGCGATCGGCGTATAGGTAAATGGAAACTTCCATTTATGCTGATTTGTGATTACAGCTTGTTTACAAATGAATTCTGAGTGTTTATTTATTTTTTTCACGAGGTCCCAAACACTACAACCCTACCTTCCAAATGTGACAGATGCATTTGGTATGTCAAGAGTAGGTAGGTATGATAAGACCAAAATGATGAAATAAATGAATACTCAATGAATTTCACACCCAAAGGTTGTAAAATAAACTGCGAGGGTTGATAAATCAGTATTTACGTCACAAATCGATAATTTTGGCACCGAAAATTCTGTATCAGCACATTATTTCTTTCGGTGTAAAACTGCGGCAATTTTTTTTTTAGAAAAAACGTACTTATACGTGAGTGAGATTTGTGAAATTTACTTCCATCATATACAAGTTGCAAATATGCTTTCCTAGTATTTTATTTTTTCTCCGGGCAATTTTCAATAATTTCGTGTTTACCGATTAGGTTTATGGCAACAGAGGCATATTCGAATTTGACCAGCACAATGAAATACTACGGCACCAAGGATAATCCTGGAGCCCACTTCACGTTCAATTTTGAGACAATCGAAGCACTTACCCCACAATCGAACGCGCCAGATTTCAAAGAAGTCATCGAAGACTGGTATGCTGCTCTCCCTGCCAGCAAGTGGTCTAATTGGGTGGTGAGTACATTGCATTATGATGTTTTCGGCGCATAGACCATGGAATAATGTCTATTGATTTTATTTGAACAAAAAAAGCCTCATATTTACACTGAAAAAAACGTATCACCATCTCAACTATACTTCTAGCGGATTTTGGCGCCAGCCATAAGAGTAGTTGCACTGGCTAAAAGTGTAAAGGCCCCAGCCAGCGGTATATATAATCCAACCACACTTATGCTGACTGTGAGGGCACCAGCTAGAGGTATGGTTGATCCAACTACACTTTCAGTTGGCCTAACCATTACTCTGGCTTGTGCAACTACTCTAATATCTGGCGCTAAAATAAGCTAGGAGTATAGTTGGGATCGTGATACTTTTTTTCCGTGTCTGAAATGTTAGAATAAAAATTCAAAAAACGATGAAAAACCTGAGCCCTACACGGTGGTGGCCGGGATCTGATTTTTTTTGTTAATTGTGTATTTTATGTGCTGGTTACACGCTCAAATTCCCATCAATTTCCGATCAAATGGTGACTGGTGCGCACCATCTACCATCAAATTTCTGCGGCCTGCAAAAATTTGATGGTAGATGATGGAGCTGTGGGGCTCATCCTTCATCTGATTTCCACACAACCGTGCTTATTTCATGCTTATTTCAATCAACACGCTCTTTTAATCAAACTCATCAATCTAGGTAACTATCGACCGCCATCTTGGTCATCATTTTGATCGGAATTTGACGGGAATTGATCGTGTAACCAGGCCATTTGCCTTCTTTCCTGTCCCCCCTTGTTTTTCTACTGTTACCATTGTTTCGGGATGCTCTATAAATATTTGTATCTAAAATCGGATTTCAGTTGGGGAACCACGACAAGCGACGGGTGGGCTCGCGTTACGGGATCGACATGTTGGATGGACTGCACATGCTTCAGATGTGCCTTCACGGTACCTCCGTGACGTATGCCGGAGACGAGATCGGAATGGTGGACACGTTCATCCGCTGGGATCAAACCAAAGATCCGCCTGCTCTCAATGTCGGCCCTGAAAGGTACCAAAGATTCACACGGGACCCCGCCAGAACTCCGTTCCAGTGGAATGCGTCCACAAGTGCAGGTTAGCCTCAAAGTCCAATCTGGTTAGACGTCGGCAAAATCAGCCTATTTTCATTTCACGTTACCTACAAAGACGTGGTGTGAATGATCGAGTATCAATATTTTCCCCCATTTGAAGCTATGGTGAACAATCGATTTTTAAGATGTTCGCACTGAAAAAAAATTCTCGGCGTTTTTACCAAGGTCCGTTGGTACCTTTACCATCTCACTTTTTTACCAATAATTGGTAATTTTACCAAGACAGACTGGTAAGCTTACCCAAAAACCGGTATTTTTACTGTTTTTCTCAGGTAAGAATACCACTTTCATTGGTAATCAATTCTCGGTAACTTTGACATTTTATCTCGGTAATTCTACCACAGTCGATAAAAAATATTGGTGTTTTTACCGGGGCTCAGTAAAATTACCGAGAAAGTCAATAATTTTACCGAGATATTTCGATAAAATTACCAATTCCATAAATGGTAATTTTACCAAGAAAAAACTGGGATCAAATAGAACCCTGAATTCTTGGTAATTTTACCTTTTTCTTAGTAAATACACCGAGATTTTTTTTCCGTGCGTTGCAAACAACCTGTTTTTCGATCCTTTTTCCATATGGGACAGCACGCCTCGCCGCACTGGTTGCGTAATCTCCTCTCATATGTTAGTTTCTCGTCGAAAAACTCAGTGACGTTTTGACGTTAAATTTTGTGAATATTTTCTTCTCAATACAGAGGAAATTTACAGAAAGTTTAAAGGCCTTAAGTACAACGGTGTGGCATGCTCTGCGATATATCGATTGATTTACCATTTATACCTATGAAATAGGATCAATAAACAAAAGATGTTCACAACGAACACCGTAATAATCGATTCTTTACGACAGCTTCAAATGATGAAATATCGAAAATCGATCATTCACGGCTCACCAATGGTTACATGGGTCTATTTTCTTAACAGAAGACAACCCACGAGAGGAAATTAAACAATTTAAAATGCAGTTATACTGACTCTGGTCAACTATGTCCATGATTTATTTGTTTTGTTCTATACCAATTTTAAAGTACTTCACTGGGCTAATATCACGCTTTATACCTTGGTCCTAAATGACCATTGCTTGAAAATAATCAAACTCAGGTCACTTGGCCAGAAATCAGACCCGGGACCACTTGGTTGTAGGGCTACAACCAATATATCACAAGAGGCCGACACTGACTCTAAATGGTCCTGGAAAAGCGTGGTAATGCTGCACTGTTGTAAATCTTCGGATACTATTTTGCCCCCAAAATCGAATGATATTTTGGGGGCAACGATGAATTTCTTAAAACATTTCCCTGATTCGTTGATTAACCTCCTGAATGTTAAGCTCATCTTAAAATTGTATGTCTTTTAATCATTGCTCTTAATTTTGGATTTAAGGTTTTTCGACGAATCCAAAAACTTGGCTTCCAGTCAATCCTGATTATTGGTCACACAATCTAGTTACAGAAAAGAAAAAGGCCAGTAGCCATTTCAAAAATTACCGAAGATTGTTGACTCTGAAAAAGTCGCCCGTTATTCAATTTGGTAGTGTAAATGTCTACACCCTATCAGACTGGGTCCTTGTCATAACCAGGTGAGAAGACATTTTTAGGAAATTTGTGAACGACATCAGAAAAAGAGTTTATTTTCACCGATGTAGAAACGTTTAAACGGTTACATTTTTGGTTGAAAATGGTTTTATGAGCAAAGAGAGCCTCAAGCCAAAAATATTCTTTGCAGTTGGGGAGCTTTTTCAAAAATTCGGGGTCGTCATTCAAATGTTTGGGAAATGGATGGGGAAATCATCATATTTTTGAGACGGAGCCTTTTTAAGTTAATGGTGTGCAGATGGTTATTATGCATCTGAATGCAATTATCTTAATAAGGAACCATTAAAAATGAAAGTAAACTTAATTAAATTACTTACGTAGAAAAAGCGATAATGGACATGTACAGGCACACAGTGAATATTGAATCTCCCTTACCTGCAAAAGAAGAAGAATGTTATATTAACTTAAGTATTATTTTTAATAAGGATACATACTGCCAGAAGTTATGGTAGTGGTAGAAACCAATTATAGCAGGGCCTAAATATTAAATAACCCTTTTCAACGTTTCCGCATTAAGAGTGAACTGCGATATCTATCGATATGAAATTAAGTCACTTATATATCTCAGTTTGTGATATTATAGATTTACCTCCTTGAGGAGGTGTAAGATTGGTAAATGTTGTACTGTTTTGATGGATTAATCATATTCACTGCAAATATTTTGCTCGATTTTGCTTGGGCAAGCTAAGAAATATTCTCTTTAAAAATCATGCAAAAATGTGAATAATATCCCCGAACAGCTAAGGTAGGTGTGGACATTTTGAAACATCTTAATACGTGTTTCCTTAATTGCAGTTCAACTGCTGAAACTTAATGTTTGCCCGTGACTTAGATATAAAACAGGTCATGTCGTGGCCAACGAACTTCGCAATGGAACCAGCCATCTACTTATCTTTATCGATGCCGCATTGAGTACCATTTGAATGCAATTGAATGGTATTTACGTAAGTTACGAAATCTCAAAGTCAAACAGAATGAATACTGTGCAATGACGCGTCGATCTGAAGTATAGGGTATCGAAATGATAAGGTTTAACGACAGCTTGCATCCTTAAGATTGGTGAAGTGGTAGGCAAGATATTAAAAAATAATGACATAATGAATGATACATGATACGCTATGGTTTTTAATGTCTCATATCCATGTTGGGTTTTATTACTTTACAGAACTCTCAAAGACCACCCGACATACATTGTCATTCTGAACCTTGGCACAGAATTAGAGGATACAAAAGGGTTGAGAAAAATCGCAAACTTGCCAGACCAAATCAGATTGCATACGTGCAGCATCAACTGTGGCTACTCGCCTGGGTAAGTTTTTGCTAGAATTTTTCGCGCATGCAACAGATTATACAGTAATAATTAAACAGACCAATATGAGCAATACTTTTAAAACAATTTTGCAAACATTTCCACGTTTAAACATCTTTTTCTAAAAGGTCGTTAAGGAAAAAACAGTTTCAATAATGAGACTCTGCTTGTTGTGACGATGGTTCGTAGGGATTGAGCGTGACACGACGGCTGAAAAACGCCTTCAATGAATTGAATAGGCACACCGAGCTCACAGGAGGTCGAATAGTGGTATCATGATTAACAGGACATTTTTTAACATTGCTTATTAATCGTGTGGTTTTTGAGTGATATTTTTGGTAGTTTAAGAATCACGAAACTAAATTGATTGCTTTGAATGTCCGCACTCTCCCTATATAGGTACTCTAAACCATTTAAAAACCAAACTAATGCGTGGATCTTCTCTCGTGTATTTTCCTCAGGGCCCAACTTCGGACAGATGAAATCCAGCTTCGACCAAAGGCCGGATTTGTGTGTATCGCTCGGGGTGGCCTAAAAACCTCTTGAAAGGAAGATGCCATAGGTTGTATCTCCAAGTGGAATATGAGGATACATTCAATGGTTCCAGACGTAAGAGCTCAGCATCAAAGGACTACGCTAAATGGCTCGTAATGGGATCTCGCTGCGTTCAATGTGCAAAAGTATTCGCTCTGCTAACGTAAAGGCGTATTTCGATTTCCGCATGAACCCCAGAAAGCATCGATTTACATGTAAAACATGGCACACGTGGAATTTGAGTTACGTCCTTAAGTTAGAGGGCAGTGGCGTGGCGTGCTCTGCGATCTATCGATATTTTCCCGTTTGAAGTTGTGGTAAATAATCGATTATTATGGTTTTCGCTGCCAACACCCTGTTTATCGATACTTTTCCTTAGGTTGAAATGACCGATCAATCGATGTATCGCAAAGCTTACCACGTCGCTGTTAGAGGAGCGACGTAGCGTGCACATCTGAGCTGTTTGCTCTCCTATGCGAGAAATTGTTGATCTGAAAAGACTGATTGTTCCGAAAAAAATACGGTAAGGTCTGAAACTGGGATCTCTTTTGGCCATCTGAGTATCGTTGCATGTTGTGAAAAAAATGAAAGAATGAGTGCTTTGTACATCCAGCAGACTGTATTTTTGTACTACGAGAAGATGCATTCCTTTTTTTGATATTAAAAATGATCATGACCTGTACATTTTTACCATTGGCCATTTTAACCTTTGACATCAACTTCTAACATGATGTTTTATTAATTTGTGTGATTAGAATTCTTTTATTTTCAAAAGATCAAAAAAGAAAAAAACTTAATCGATATTGACAAAATATGTATCTTATCAATCCATACGTAATAAGTTTCAAATTTTTGAGGAAAATACCACCTTATCAAGAATATACTTAAAAATTCAGAGCTATATGTCTGCCACTTTACATTATAAACACCATGGAAATAGTTTAACATGCAATAAATAACGTTTAATAAAGAGGCATCAAACCAAAATCTGAAAAATATTTTCCGACATTATTTATCATAAAACACAATATATAAACATTAAAATTTGTTCATCTTTTCATCTCCCACTTCTTTGTGCGTTTTAAGAAGCGCAAATACTTTAATACGCATTTTTTTATAATTTATGAATAATTTTTCTATTTGTAAGCATAATTAAGCGCATCAAAGGAGTTGTGCAACATTTTAAAATAAATTAATCAAGAATCAAATGAGTAAAAATCTTATTAAAAACAAACATATGAATAACTGAGATAACTAACATCAAATGTTTAGAAATCCTCTCAGTGCACACCGAGCGAAACAATTGAACTGAGACCCATTTTCCACGTTTACATTCAATTTTTCGGTCATAGAGGTTTTCATAGAGGTTCATAGTTTTCCCCTCAAAATAAAACAAATTGCACGTAGCCTCTTAAAATCCATACGATTGTTATCCTCAATTATAATATCATCATGAGAAAAGGCTCTTGTCAGTTTTGTTGATTATCGTTAACATTATTACGATACCGAAGTTTAAAACTATCAAATTCTACACTTCTAAATAGACAGAATCCTAACATGCACCTGAAATGTGATCGAATTGTGAATGTAATAAATAAACTTATTGAATTATTTTCATATTGGAAATTGAGGAGGGGCCAGGGACCTAGCGACTACTGCTGAATTTCCGGAGGACGAAAGCAGCGCAGAACCACGGCAGTAACGGAATACTTTCTGGCTAACTTTATTTCCTCTTTTTGACAATAGGGTGCGCTAAAAATTCTCCCCGGATTTATGACTTCGAAGTACATATCAACCGAGTGTAGGTTGACTCGGATCCTATCTTTTCTTAATGCCTTTTACCCGGAAAGAATAAGTCAAACTCACTACGTTCCCTCTGATACAGTTAAAATATTATTTTCTCGATAAATGTAACTTATTCCGCCAAGTCGTCATTTCTCATATTCCTGCAAATTTACAGAATTTTTCGGTTCTTTTTCTTACGGTCGAAAACGTGTACGTCACCTTAGCAAATGCATCAAAGTGGTACCATATTCATATTTCAATACTTTTTTGCAACAAGCTGGTCGAAATTCTGCCAATAAGAGGAGAAATCAAACAAAATGCATTGAACTTCATTTGTTTGGGTGGTAAGAATTCCAAGAAACATTCCAAATTTTCCGATTATTCCTGCAAAATTTTCCAACAAACGCCTGGCAGTGACCTCTCATTGATTTTTTTGAAAAGCACCAGGTACTATTTCATCTTGGTACGACTGTCGCTAGATCGCCTTCAATTTTGCGCCTATGCAACACTGCTCCATGAAGGTTAAAAAAGTGGTATCATATTGGTTCGGTAGGCGCACTTTACTGTCAGAGCATTTCAGCTGCGAAAAATCTCAGATCACCACGCAAATAAAACTTCATTAATCAACCAGATAACTTTTAATAGCTGAATGTGCGTAAGGCGCGTTCAATCTTTCCGCAACATTGTGCAAGTTTTTTTTTTTAGTTTCAGAAAGATATTGAATTTTAGGTGAGCAGGCAAGTGTTGAGCCAAGTTTTTCTCGATACCTATACTAGAGATTTAGTCTTAGTGATAGTTATTCACTGTAACTAAATTCCTCACAGCGTCCTGAAAGACGGGATTCAAGCTTAGCATCTCTTGAAATATATCAAAATAATGTAATCTTTCGTCAAACGTGGCTAAAGTCAATCTCGTCAAACCTTTATCAAGTTTTCAACTAGTTTCGTCAAACTTGATAGAAAGTTCATAGAATGCCTTCGAACTTCATCTCAAATTGTCGGTTCCCAGGCGAAAAACGTGGCTAACTTTCAACGTTGCAAAATTTCAACTCTCAAATTGTATTTATTGGAACTTTCAAGAAACTGTATGAAGTTTTTACCGAAAAAAACTTTTTGATCACAGGAGAGAGTCAGAAAAATTTCGAGGCAAAACTGGACAGTCATACTCTGGTAAACATTTTTACTGCTGCAGTCTAATTTTTAACTATCAAATTGAGTTTATTTTCCACGTCTAAGAAATGTCGAAATCTCGAAACCCAAGTTGACTCTATTTCTTGCAGAGGGTCGAGGGTCCAAAATTTCCACATTATTTTTCTCCGCATGTTTGAGCATTTGATAATAACTTGCAAAGTTTCTGAAATAGCTATTTTATTTTATTTATTCAATTTTAGCAAAGAAAACGTAGTGCCTCTAAAATTTGCCTTTTTTGAAGATTATGCTTTGGTATCCATTTATATAACGATAATAATTACTACAGCATTCAAAACTCGCTGCTTTATTTGCTAAGAAATCTCTTAGTTTTCGTCAATTTTCTTGAAACATGGCGTGATCCCAAATTTTCAAATGAGTCTAAAAGCGGACGAGACATTTTTTACACTTGATAATTCGTCGTTTTCAGCACGAAAGAAATTGACGGTAGGAATTCAATTTTCTACAAGGATGCGCCTTTGCAAATTTTTCCAAGCTTTGTGTGATTTTTGCATGAGTTTAAAGGGAAAATCGGTGAAATTTTCAGCCAGAAATTCCTAAAATTAATTAATTAATTAAATTATAACGGCAATAAAATTTAATTACGTTCTTTCGTGAAAGAAACTACCTAATATTTCAGAACTCTCAAACGGATATCGAATTTTCCTTTCAATACTCCAGAAAATTGTTTTCATCTTCTATGGCAACAAAATCAGTACTTTTTTATGGACTTACGTCCACCTATAAGTAACCCAATGAATCTTTCTGTTGAAGATCTGGCAACCCCTCTGTGGAGGAGGCAAAGGATGCGTGTTGAGCGAGTTGAGCCGTTGCACGCGGCGGAAGCCTAATTGAGTTGTGCGAGCAATATCGGGGAAAGGCTTCCTGCTCGAGACAAAAGCTCGCAAAGAAATAGCCGTGGCTTCGGCCAAAAAGGGAACCTCTATAACTATCAGGGGCGTCAGCACCGTTGCCAGATTGCCATTTATAAATCGAAAATATTCCGGAGAGAGCAACACACAAGGACCGTATCCATAATTTGGATAGACTCTTCTGCCGCAATATAGGCAACTATTCGTGCACCATCAGTGTTATACATTGCATACTCGATTATTTGAAGGCATTTCATCATCCCACGCTGCGCATCTCATGGATATGCATTATTACCGTCAACGATTAATGTGTTTTGACGCTTGGACGTTAACTCTGCGTCTAGTAGTCCTCCGGACTGAGGCTCTTGCGATATTCTCATGCCGTTGACGCAGTAGTTTCTCTTAGCACAGCAGTACAGCAGTCAAAACTATTAATGTCACCGAATGAATAATGGAGCAATATAGGCAACTATTCGTGCACCATGAGTGTTGTAAATTGCATACTCGATTATTTGAAGGCATTTCATCATCCTACGCTGCGCATCTCATGGGTATCAACAATTAATGTGTTTTGATGATTGGATGTCGACTCAGCGTTAGCACTGCCGTGATAGCGAAAAGAGCAGCAAAAGCAAAGAGTTTCGAGAAAACGATCTTAAAAGCATCTGACCGGGAAATTTTTTCGAGTCTTGTCAAATTGTCCCTAATCATCCAAAAGACTCTTAGAAATCATTTGGATGATTCAAAATCGACTGATTTCATTTTAAGTACATAAAAAGGGTATTATTCGTTTTCATGTTAGGCTATTATTGGGCAAGACAGCCGTATGTGCTATCTTCAGCATTATTTCGTGGTTGCGTTTTAGACACACAACAAGCACATTTTCAGTTTAGAAATTGACAGAAAAAGGCTGCAGTCTACTGGGAAACACTGTTTTCATTGGCTCTCTGGAGGAATAGTGCCACTTACGGCTGTTTCGTCCTAAACTACGTCATTTTTTATGCACCTACAGCTGTTTCATACAATCCGTTTTCATAGGATTAAGATTAATATTGCTGTTTTAGCTATTTGAGTGATCTCATCTAAAAGAGATTAGACACATTTTGAAGGAGACTAGATTACAAAAATTTAACACTTACTACTCTCATCGCTATCACTGTAGTCTTCCCTTAAATGTTTCAAGGTTCTTAAACCTTTTTAAAGGTATGGTTCGTTTCAAAGGGGATATGGAGGGATCCTATTGGTCAAATGGGGTTGGAATGGACAAAGGAGGTAAGTAATAGACGAACTAACGACAACCCGCGGGAGACCCGATAAATAGTTCATAATTTTCTCCCTCAGTCTAAAGAAACCACCCATTGCAACCAATAGGATCGCTCCATACTCCCAATGTCTTCTTTGTCTATAGCTTTGTCTATCGAAATCAACGACCAGCCTGCGGGGGGCGTCCCCCCAAGTACGAATTAATATGCCGCCGGCCGATTATCCTCAAACCGAGTCCGCATCACCCCATCGAATAGGATAATTTGGACTACATTTTGCAATTTGGATCTATAGATTCTAGCCCGATTTAAAAACAACGTATGTGGCATTCGTTTCCCTATGCACATAAGTGCTTTTCCAGAAGAGCCAGAATTTATAGTTCCGAATTGCAAAATGCAGTCCATTTCTGGGTGTGATTCGGCAATCCGGGCCGTGAGTTATGGGTTCGTGTCCATCCTCTGCAGTTTGACCGCGAAGAAAACGCTCTATTATTTATTAGCACTCCTCCGGTCGCCCCCCCCCGCTGCCCCTCTTGAATACTTCCCGTGGATACCCACCATCAAAAGACCGTAATAATAGGATGGATAATTTATCTCGTAAATAGCGCATAAAAACAATGACTTATTCTAAGGCCGACTCGGCCCCCAGGCGTCGCGCCTTCGTCCTTCCTCCCGGCGGAGATTTCATCAGCGCGAGCTCGAACCTATGTCCATTAAGACATGAGCCCTGAGGCCCGTAAGAATATGTGCGTAACAGAGCTCACGTCATGTTGCGCATAGTTTCGTTTAGCAGAAATACGTCCGCTCTCTTGCTTGGTGGTTTTCCTCGACCTTGAAATTTCGGTTTTTGGGCCCTTTTCACCCTATCTTCTCACGCTTTGTTGGGTAACGCTATATAAACCTCACATAAAATGCTGTCGCGCTACACTGAAAAAAAAAATCTTAA